AAGTCGCCAGTTCTCATCTTCCAGCTCCCCAGCTACTCCGCGTACTACAGTTGTACTACACAGTCGCCACTTCTCATCTTCAAGCTTCCCAGATACTCCGCGTGCTAAGGTTGTACTACACAGTTGCCAGTTCTCATCTTCCAGCTCGCCAGATACTCCGCGCACTACAGTTGTACTACCACGTCGCCAGTTCTCATCTTCCAGCTCCCCAGATGCTCCGCGTACTAAACTTGAACTACCAAGTCACTAGTTCTCACCTTCCAGGTCCCCAGGTACTCCACGTACTATAGTTGTACTACAGAGTCGCCAGTTCTCATCTTCCAGCTCCCCAGATACTCCGCGTACTCAAGTTGTACTACCAAGTTGCCAGTTCTCATCTTCCAGCTCCCCAGATACTCCGCGACTCCGCCTACTAAAGTTGTACTACGACGTCCCCAGTTCTCATCTTCCAGCTCCCCAGGTGCTCCGCGTACTAAAGTTTTACTACAAAGTCGCCAGTGCTCATCTTCCAGCTCCCCAGCTACTCCGCGTACTACAGTTGTACCACAAAGTCGCCAGTTCTCATCTTCCAGCTCCCCAGATACTCCGCGTGCTAAGGTTGTACTACAAAGTCGCCAGTTCTCATCTTCCAGCTTCCCAGATATTCCACGTACTACAGTTGTACTACCAAGTCGCCAGTTCTCATCTTCCAGCTCCCTGTGTCCGTTTTTTGGCAACGCAATGCGGCACGCCGTGCCAAGCAGGGTGTTTAAGCATATTCGGAACATAATTTGGCTGCTGGCGCAGTTTGCGGCGTCAGAACGGCACGCAGCGTCAAGTGTTGTCTCCGTTTTTTGGCATCGCAGAGCGGCACGCTGTGCCAAGCAGGGTGTTTAAGCATATTCGGACGGCACGCTGGTGTTTAAGCAGGGTGTTTATGTTGGTGCAGTTTTCGGCATCACAACGGCACGGCCCACCTGAGCCGCGGCCGCCTCACTGGCCCGCCGCCAGTGAAAAAGCGCTGCCAAGCAGCAAACAGTGACCAGGCGTGAGACTGGGCCACTGGTTGCTCTGTCGAGGAGTCTCCTCGACCATCACCCCCCAGCGCTGAACCACGCACCGGGGGGTGGCCCAACCCCTCTGTGGAGAGGTGTGGGGCGCCTTGGCGGTTGGTGTGTCAGGACAACTGCCGAGCGTCACAAATCAGCATGCAAAGTCAAGTATCGAAGAATTCCTGGATGAAAGGGTGAGCTAATCAAGTTGGACTTTTACCTGTGGATTTTCAACTGAAAAAGATCGAAAAGGGATCAGCTACAGTAAGGTGGCCTTGAGGACAAGGATTTCTGTCAGGGTGTCACGGCCGATTGAACTGCAGCCAGAGCACGTCAGAGGAGTCGGACCAAGACTCGCTTGGCAGCGCGGGCACATGGACCCGGCACCGCGTGGGGAGGCCAGGTTGATGTGGCACCTGTCGACATTGGTTCGGTAGGCCAAGAGCCCTAGTAGCGTCCTTGCTCCCAGTAGCGACTCCAGGAGCCCCTAGTAGCTTCTTGCTCCTAGTAGTATGGCCAAGAGCCCTAGTTTGCTTGTGGGCCCTCGCCTCACCCAGCCGCCGAAGTAGTTCGGCAGCTACGGGTCAAGTTGCTCCAGGTTGACCCACCACGGCGGCGCATCGGATCTATAGCTACCCTGGGTCTCTATACCTGGCAAGGTGCCAACTACACCTTTCCATTCAGATGATGCAAATGATGCATTTGGCATTTCTTGCATCACCACCCCCCAAAAATCACCTCCAACACAACCTCGAAAAACCTTCCCTCGAAGCACCCTCCTCCCCCAGCATGTGCCGAGTTTACGTGTACCTTTCCCGGGCCACCCCCCAGACCCTAACTACTCACTTCGTTCGCCAGACACAACTCCGCTAGCGCCTTCTACGAAGGCTGGCTTTCGTAAACGTTCACTTGGATACTTCTGTGCCATTGTGAGTATAGAAGTGTAAGTGTTCAAGTGTAAGTGTATAGAATTGTAAGTCTTCAAGTGTAAGTGCGTGTAGTGTTCAAGTGTAAGTGTCCAAGTGTAAGTGTTCAAGAGATTTTCCGGAAGAACCCTTCGCAATGCTTTCGGGAAAAAGTCGAAAAAAAGAATTTTAAAAAAAAGTCAACTGGAAAAGTCAAAGTCAAAGAAAATCAAATTGAAAAGTTTTAAAAAAAAAATGGCAAAATTGACTTGTTTTTGACTGTTTTATAAATTTAGAAAACAGGCTCTTTCCAAAGTTTTTTATAAGACTAGGATTAAGAAACACCCACGACCGGTCCCATGCCACTGTGCATGCCAGGTTACCCACGTACATACGCGCTTGAACTTACCAGCAAGCTGGAATAGCCTGGCAAAAGGGATGGTTAGTCAGAGAAAGAGTACACCATTACAAATGGGAAGAAACTTTCTTTCACAAGCAATTAGTGGTCGATTCTACTCCCAGCGCCCAGCACTATGTCTTTTATATTGTTTTATTGCTATGTCATCGGCTGGTTGAGATCGAACATATGAAAAGTGCTGAAAGGCACTGGGCAAATCTGCGCAACCCACCAAATGCCAGGGGGTGTACTGGCCTGGATGGATTTCATCATACGAACCGCAACGTTTTGCAAGGGATGTGAGATGCTGGTGGGTTGGAGGGTTTCAAGCACTTGGTGCTTCATGAACAGGATCATGTTCATCAATGCTGAGTGAGCAAGTTGCCACACACAGGGGGGGAACGAGCCACAAATTACACTTCAAATATCCCGATGCCCCTCAATAATCAGGCATGATCAGTTGTCCTTTCATGCCTTTTCCATCTCCCCTCCGTCTTCATCCCTTTCGCTCCACCACGCGAAAAACCCGCGCCAAACCCGCTCGCCTAAGACCCGCGAGCCGTTGCCATGCATCGCTTCGATGGGATCCCAGTTCACCTCGCGAGGAAACATGCCTCGGTCGGCGGCTCCGTGCCGCGGACGACGAAGGGCCGAAGGCAGCTGAAGGGGCTCCGGGGGGCTCATGAGCAGCTCTTGAGTTCGAACTATACCCAGATCGGGACCCGGTAGAAAGAAAGGCTTCTCTTGTGCCATAACTTATGGCCTGATCTAAAGGTGTGTGTTTGGACCACAGTGCAGCGTCAACACGCATAATCCATGGGAGGTGCGAGAAGGAAAGTTGAAATACCAAAGCCAAAGGATCCAAGAGCGGGGAGGACAGGTGCCAGACTATACGCTAAACGGGACTTGACGAAGTCAGAAAACTGGACTTTTTGATAGCCCTGTTTCCTCTAGCATCCAGATGAGGATTGGGAAAACCAACTGGCATCTGAGTGCATCGTCTTGCTCCAAGACAATGTACTGGATAGGCTTGGTAAGGACTGTTGATCTAAAACATTCTTGCTTAATCTTGCTTAGTAGAATGAAGTGTACCAGAAATACCATATTCATCATAATTCTTTTCTATAGGACCTTCAGTCGCTGGCTTTAGCCCCCAAACTAGAAATACAAGATCCAAAGTACCAAATTCAGGGCTTAACCGGAACCGGAACCGATTTCCCTTCCAGTGGGGCTCCAGCTGTCCGTATCCAAGGACATTAGGTAGTCCAGCGTCGCCTTCAGTTCTGTTTGTCGGTCTGGATGGTGCGGAGGAGTACGCGAACCCGGCGAAAGGCGAAACAAGGCGAATATCCATAGCTACTAGGAACAAGTGCATCGCTACTAGTAACAAGTGCCTTACTAGTAGTAACAAGAAGCTACTAGGAACAAGTGCATCGCTTCTAGTAGCAAGTTAGCATTTCCCTCCACATGCTGTGCCGAGCTGTGCTCCACGCTGGTGTCCCTCCACCCCAGCCCTCTGCGCCCACGAGAGTTGTTGAGTTCAAGGACAAAGAACCGCTGGCTATGGAGGCCATCGCTCTTAGGTTGGAGGCCATCGCTTGAAGGTTGGAGACCATCACTTGAAGGTTGGAGGCCATTACAGCTTGTCCTGGACTTGGTAGATTGTGAAGCCTTTGACATGGTACTCTTGCGAAGGGGCTGCATTTTGCCACTTGGGCTTGGCATTCCCCGAAACGTCCCGCGGAGCTCAAAGAGGCTCAATGTTTCCTTGGTCATTCGTCTTCATCATTGTTTTTCCAAAGAGGGTGAAGATATTCATGAGAAAGACTACGGCATGTGAAATCAGGAAACATAAGGAGGTCGTCCGCGCTCTATTTCATTATGGAGGTGACACCCCCAAATGCGAGCGCTGAATGGCATCCCACATGCTGGGCCGGCCGACCACAGCAGGATGCTCAAAGAGAGGCCCCGAGCGGAAGCGACATTGGGCCTCGGAGGCGCAAAGGCGTCAGAGTCGTTCTGTTTGTAGGACGAGTGCTATTTTGCCGGGGTTTCAGAGTCGTATGGGCGGTCCAATTTCATTTGAGACCAAGAATGATTCAAAGGGAACGTAATGGAAAGGGAACCTAATAGTAATGGCCTCCAACCTAATAGCGATGGCATAATATGACCAAGAGATGATTGCAATAGCATGCCATAGCATTGAGTACCATGCTTGGTGCTGGTGCTCGATTCTATGTTTGGGTTTAGTATCGATCATTCATGATCATTCGGTTCTTTATATAGACCTTCCCAATCAGTCTGGATCAGGGCCCTTCCGGGCCGCCAGGCTCGATATCCTGCGGAGAAGGTATGAGAGACGCTACGGTGCTCGTCCTGCGCTGTATGGACTCAACTCTGTTCAACTCTTCGGTTCTTCTAGAGGAGCATTGGACTCAACGGTGAGTTTCGGGGTGGTTGGATCACAGAAAAAGGTTGCATGCAATGGAAAAAGGATGAAAAAAGGCGCGAGCCTGAGGCCCTAAAAGCCGTGGGGATTCTGAATGACTCCAGACGAAACATTCACATCTACCTGCGCCACCGGCTGAAACCAGCTTTGGGAACCGTAGGCTGGTGGTCTGAGTCAACCAGCAAGGACCATGCAAAAGATGGAAAAATCGAACTGACATTCAAAATATGTGTTGATCGAAATGTGTCAGTTAAACTAGCGCAAGCCCGCTAAGCTAACGCAGTGGCCTCTGATGGAACTTTGGTAGGTGAGACTTGGACATGAGCCCCTAGTAGCGTCCGATCGCTCCTAGTAGCGATGCCAGGAGCCCCTAGTAGCGTCCTTGCTCCTAGTAGTAGGGCCAGGAGCCCCTAATAGCGTTCGATCGCTCCAAGTTTAACCTTTCTTTCGAGATTCATTTGTCCAAAATCCGCCAGTGCAGCGGCTTCGGTTGGACTTTGGGCAAAACAACCGCCGATTGAATTGAACATCTTCGAAAGCTCAATCTGTTTTCTCAGATTTCACCTGAAGTCCTTCAGTGTTTGCCCGCAGAAACTGGCGAACGTGCCTTCGTCCTTCGCCCGACCGAACCTTTCCAAATCGCCAGTCTTGTTGAGTCTACCGGTTTGAAACATATATCGTTCTTTTTCTGCCAGTTGGTGATGAACTTCCCTCGTTCAAACATTGCCATTCGAACCTATTCAATGCATCGGCCGGGATCCTAATTGAGAAAAACAGGGTTAAAGAACGTAAACCAAAATCATGTTTCAAGTGTTCAAACAAAATCCAGAGAACATCAGGGGAGTCGAGAGCAATGCCGATTGCTCCTCCACTGAAAGTTCTGGTGGGAGCTGGTGAGGCTCAGGGATGAAGTCCTGCAACAAAAGGTGGTCACACACCAGGCAGGAAACGCTGCTAAGCCCTGAGATTGAAAAGAACCACGCATCGTTTACCTCAAATGTACTCATAGATGTAATACCTCAAATTTACTCATGGGTGTATATAAACACTGATGAAGTGTTGGTTTCAGTTTGAGGGCCACGATGTAGGCTGTCAACTGTTGTGCACCAGGATCAAGGTGCTCTGTTCGCATGTGATCGCCAGAAACCATCCCGATATATCCCGATGAAGTGGTGCGACGATGAAACACCACACGTGGGTCACTTGGGTAGAGTTCCTTCAGCCAACATGGTCACATGCCCTGCCACAGCTTCGACAAGGCGACCGATGGATCGATGCGATGAAAACTCCATACACTCTCAGCTTGACTAAGAGGCTAAAGGGTCATCAAGTTTGCTTAACACCTGGCGTTAAATTCTGTGTCAGGTGGTGCTTTTGGTGGTGCGAAAGGGCCGTCTAAGAAAGAACTGGAGGATGGACTCCTCACAAAGCGTGTTCCTCCGTCCGTGCCCGTGAGGTTCTCAACCTCAAACTAAGACTTCCCCCGGCTGGTTCAGAAATCACCTAAGCTTAAGCTTAACCAAAAAGAACAAGTGTCATGGGAATCTGCTCAAGAAATTCAGTCAGGACTCCTTTCACCCGGCTCACTCATCTAAGATTCTTAGTCGCCTTGCAAGGAGAGCCCCTCTGTTTGACCTACACAGGGGCCAAGCTTCGTAGAAAACGAAAAAGCCAAACAATAACTCAATCTGAATACCTGCAGACCACCACTCTGGTGTATACAACTCTAGGATCATCTTCACCCCTGTCACACCCCATCAAACCAAGCCTTTGGAAGGTGATGAAACCAAAGCCGGTTGGACCTCGACTCGATGTTCACGTCGCTCGCAGGTCGAATCTGTGGTAACCAGAGTGGTACGCAGATTCATGGACGCTATTTGGAGGCCATCGGTAGTAGGTTGGAGTAGTGAAGATGAGCTGTTTGCAACCCAAAGAATTAGATTACCTTACCACATCCAAGTAAGGAAGCTAATGCCCGTGAGCGAGCAGCTGCAGAAACGCGCCTTTTCCACAGTTCTTGAGCCAAAATGTAAGTCGCAAAGCAAAATGATTGCTACCCAATGGAAAGACTAACACTAGGGATGTTAGAGGGGATGCCCTGCGGCTATTCTACATGCCACTTCACAACTCCCCCCTTCCATATAGCAGCCCTAAATTCAATTTCCGTGTGCTTCTTGCTTTGCAATCCGCACAGATTTCATAGACTACGGGACTATGTGGCTGGTGCCAGGCACAGCTGCTCGAGAGTTTGTTACCATTCGGCTTGCCCGATTACATTCGTGAATCCTGACGCTTTGTATCGCAGCATTCAAGCTCAAACGCACCTTGCTCCAATTGCTCGTGGATAGAGGCAAGGTTCACTGTATGAACCCTACCAGCGTGCCGAAGTTTCGCACCATATCCAGATTGGATCACGGTGATTGCTTCTTGGATGTCCTGTTGGAGGGACACTGGGATGCGAACTTCAGCCAAGGACTCAACCATAGTATGCGAGTTCAGAGTTTCGCCGCTAACTCGGCTTCTGCGGTACTCCTCGCAATCGAACTCTGTTTCTTTGAGGGCCAAGTAAAGGGAAACATGAAGAGGTAATTCGAAGAACATATACTACCCCACTTCTTGCAGTGTGTGGACAGGAGGCACGGTCGCTGTCAGTTTGTACTAACAGTGCCGGCGCTTGACCAGGTTCTACTGCAGCACGCATGACAAAATCACACGTCGAGCTTAGGTAGTCTCAACATCTGCCGATCCTCCCATCTAGTCCATCGAGCGACTCGACTTGCCAACATCTGCTCTGCAAGCAAAGCTCACGTCTGGCCTTGCTAGGCGTGACAACTAAGGGCACTTCATCAGGATTTTTGCAAAGGCACAATCCCTCTACGAAGCTTTGGCGTCAAGTGTAGTTATATACCCTCTAAAACCTTTGCTATGAGAAACCCCACGTACATGTGAAAGTTTGTTCTGCACGGATGACCATACACGCACGCATGCTGGGCGGTTGTATTGGTCGTTGTTGTTGTTGTTGTTGTTGTTGATGATGTTGTCCTGCTGTTGCACCATTGCTGAAAAAGGTTGCCCTTTTTGGAGCCCTACGCACATCTCACTGTCTGAATCCAAAGTCACCGCCTCCCCCCCGCAACCTGGCCTTCGACAGGACCAGCGTCACTGCCTCGAAGTCTTTGGCTGCACAAGCCTTCCGCGCCGCTTCCTCTGCGCTCTCCAACGGGCGCGTCAAAACGAGGGTTGCCATCACCCAACACTCCGCTATGGTGACAAGTGCAATGCTGGGCCGACTGCAGGCACATGCAACCTCTGCATTCACTGTCACGGCCCCAAGTCTAAGAGTACATGCCAGTCGTCCTTCGGAGTTCCACATATGCCTCCAATCATCCACGCAAGAGCAACCCCAAAGAACCCACAACAAACGTGCGGAGGACACTCGCGCTCCAACGGATGTTCCAACCATCCCCCATAAACAAGACGCCAGAGCAGCATGACTGCACTTGGGTTGGGCCCAGGCTCCACTGCCTGAGAGGGTGGGCGAAAGCCTGGCGCAGCTGTGCTCTCAGTTTATGGATGTTGACTTTGAGCAACTGCTGGGTCATCGTCCAGACCATCATCAAGGGGTAGTGGAGAAGCAGCTGGTTCTGGAGGCGCCTCACTGGGTTCGTATTCCTGAAACATGGATGCAGGGGTACACCCTGGGCTGACACAAAGGTCAGACACATTTGAGATAATGCGTACTGAATTGGATGCCATATGCCACACGGCAACCTAGGTGAAAAAAGGGGCCTGCGTAAAACGGGCAAGGTAGGTTGTAGGCCATCGCTAGTAGGTTGGAAGCCATCGCCCCAAATTCTGGAGGCCATCGCTGGCAGGTCATTTGCACAAACTTAAAGCTGCATCAAGCAACAAGGTTGGAGGTCATCGCCAGTACGTTTAGAGGCCGTCCCACCAGGTTGGAGGCCAGCACTACCAACTTACAAGACACAAACTCAAAACACAAGTGGGTGGCAGGTAGTGGCCAACTCCACCATCCCATCTTGCTCCCTACTAGCCTGTGGAGGGATAGAGCCGCAGTGGGGCACTGTAAAGCACCCTAGGTGCGCAAGAGCTCTTCTCAGTAAAGACTGTTCAAAGCAAGGTCAAAATGGATCCACTCGCACCCTACCACCGGTGAACTTCCCAGACGTGCCAGCTGTTTGATCTACGTAGACTGAACTCTCCACGCAGATCTCCAATCCCCCATAAATACCTTTTACAAAAGCGGTGGTGTCCAACGAATCCCAGATGGAACAGGAACTCAGAAGTCTGGTTTTGTCAGAATACAGCCTGGCTGGAGTCTCCCTCTCTCCACTGTGGATGTTTAGCCTTGAGCATCTTCCGATTGTAAACTTCTCTGGGCACCAGAACTTTGCATGTCCCTTCATCCGCCGAAAATGAGACTCCCCACCAAAGGACCTGATTTTCACTGCATCGGGTTCTGCGAAAAATTATACCAAAGCCGTTTGCGCCCAATTTGGCTGGATTTGAGCTTCTAGCTACTAGTAGTAATGCACTTGTTCCTAGTAGCGATGCACTTGTTCCCCGATGTCCTCCAGCTTGAAAGCTCGAAGCTGGGTGGCCACACGAGCTCCGCACTAAGCCCGCGCGAAGCTCGTCGGAGAGCCTCGGAGAAAGGCGCCGACGACCGGGCAACTCCAGTTCCGTTTGGACTCATCCGAAAGAAAGACACCGTTAGCGATGGCCTCCAACCTGTCCGTGCTCCGTTCGTAGCGATGCCAGGAGCCCCTAGTATGACAGCCATGGAACATAGACACAGATTGAACCCATATTTCAATAATTCGGCTTCAGTCTCGCTGTGTGGGGTGAGAAATTGCCAAAAAAGCTGCTCCCAAGATTCTCTTTGAGACGTGGAATACTTGGTGGCCTTGTGTTTCCATCCCCCGTCATGGTCGATAAAACACCCGAACCCACCACGCCGTGCTTTCTGCCTTTGGATCATTGGTCCTTTCCGGGATCCGATTCACCCTAGTTCGCAGCAAGGAGACCATTCGAGTCCCTTGCGTCGCGGTGTTGGGGAAGCGGAGAGAAAGCGCAGCGGAGAGGCCTCAAAAGAGGAACCCCCTCCTGAGTCAAACAGCCGTGCTTTGTCGTGCTCTATCTTCACCATACAGTTAAAGAGATTTAAAGGGATTGCCGCCATTGGATACCAAGTTTGTATCTTGGTCATTGTGCGTTTCTCGCAGACGATTGGTTGTTCTGCGCACATGTACACTTTTTTTGTGACTCACCGACTTGGTGAGCTTGGATGTCCTTTTTGGAATCATAGAGAGGGTCAGTTTGCTACTAGTAGCAATAAGCCGTACTACTAGGAGCAAGGACGCTACTAGGGGCTCCTGGCATCGCTACTAGGAGCAAGAAGCCACTAGAGCAAGAAGCTACATAAACGAGCCAAAACACCGAGATCTTAGCCGAGCGATACACGGAGATGTCATGACCGATGAAGATTGAGTTGGGATTGAAATACTTGTACGTATACTATTTGTCTGGAGCACATGTACATGTAGTACATGGTTTGATACATGGATCGTCATCGATATTCCCTTCCCCAAGTCTTATTTGGGCCCCTTGTGGGCATTCCATGCCAACGCAGGACCTGAGTTGGCAGCAACCACTGCACCAAAAGCTCGTAGAAGGACACGAAGACACCAACTGCTCCTTTTCATGTTTAAGCACTGCTTCAAGAGGATAGATGTCTGCACATCATAGGGGGGGTCTGGGTGCATGGCAGTCGGGTAGTTATATAAGGGAGCGGAGGCTGACTGCATTGAATTGGTTGCTGTTCAAAAGAATGACTTGTATCAACCCCACCTCCTTATCATCTGTGAGGGTTTGCGGAGGATTCCTTGTTTTTGAGTAACGGACTTCCTTCTCGAGCTTTTCGCGAGCTTTGAGGATCTTTCAGCGGCAGTGGATCAAAACGTTCGTAGAAACCACTGTTGGAAGGAGAGACGGTACTGGGCGCAATGTCATCATCTCATCCAAAAAGGTGATCAAAAGCTACTTGTCAGCCTTCTGCTACTTCCGTCATTACCTTGAAAAGCCGTCATTGCCCAGTTCTGCACATCTGTGAGTCGTTGAGTCGTTCAGAAACCTCAGAGACGTGACTGATCGCCGGTCTGTGACTATTCGTCCGTGAATGCTTGTCCGTGAATTCGGTCTGTTGGACTGGAATTGGAGACCTCTAAGCAAAGTTAAAAGTTTGGTTACTGTATGTTGTTTAAACCATTCTCATGCAGTATATATTTTATTGGGTTCACATGGAGCACCCATGAGTTTTTGATTCCACCGCCGGAATCTCGCCACCAGACTTCAGTTCACGTGAGATTCTTGCTTCACTTCCTGGCGCGGCTGGTTGCCCCAGCGGCTGGTTGGGTCGCTCTGACTCTTTCTGCTGACTTGTTCGATAAACAACATAACTTTGATAACTTGCTGAAGAAACAGTGATGAATGGGGATACTAAACAAAGCGTCACGTTTGTGTACAGGTTTGCATTTGGAAGGTCTACACAATGTACAGTACCTGCACTTTATGGACAAACAACTGACAGAATGTATGCGTTTCCGAGAAGGGATGTTCGGCAAAAAGACAAACATTCCGACCCTGTATGTGAAAGGAAAACTTCCGGTTGCAAACCGCTTCATTCTCCTTGCTAGTAGGTTGGAGGCCATCGCTCTTAGGTTGGAGGCCATCGCTAGTAGGTTGGAGGCCATCGCTAATAGGTTGGAGGCCATTGCCATGTAAAAGAATGCATGGTGAATCTCTGAAGGCAGATGAATCGCTGTTTGACACCCCAGATGGAGGCCATCTCTTTTGGGGTTTAAGTAAGGCCCTGATCAAACAGCGGCCACATCGTTCGCCCGCACCTCGCTGCACTCAGTAGGGCCTTGGCACCAGGGGTTGGATGGTCTTCGATCCACACCACGACGGACGTCGTGGATAGAGTGTCATATGTATTGCCTGAAGTGCAGGACAGAAGACAAATTGACAAATGGTTTGGTTGTCCAAATGGGCCCCAAATGGCTAAGAGGTTTCCATCAACTTACTTCGCCCAACACACTTTGATAGTCGGTTGGAGGCCATCGCGGCCATCGGTTGGAGGCCACTGCGAACGTAGGTTCCTTTTGCGAACCTGCGGAACGGACAACCGCGCGAAGCTGCGGGCGGTCAGTTTAGGGCGAACCTGCTCTCCACCGGATCCACCCGAGCTTTTCTCAGCTGTTTGCTGGCGCCAGGGTGCACAGGATGCCGCCCTATCAGACCAAGCGGCGAATAGTTATATTCTGCCCTGTTGTGCATGATCAGCTGGTCTTGCACAAAGTAGAAGCCTCCACGTTGGGAAACATCCCAAAAGAGGTTCATGAGTGTGTGGCAAACAAGGGGAACATGGGAACACCTAGCGGCCTAGCACATGAGCAAAGCAACAGCATGCCCCTCATCTGGAGAAGTGTCCGCCACCAAGCACCGACAGCTCCAGGTTTAGAAATGACAAGGATGGGATGGGCATGAACTTGGCAAAATGAGGACGTTTGAAGCTATTTTTTTTCCCCCACAAGTCCTCGTGATATCCATTGAGTCCACTCCAGATTTCAGCCATGTCCGACCTTTGGGTGAAGTTGCAGGGTTGCCGAAAGAACAAAATCCACAGATGGTCGCATCCATGACTCGCTTGCCTACATAGGTGTTGGCAAAAGGATTCACACAGCTTCAATAGCCCCAAAAGCCAGGCTCATGAATAGCCAATTCAGGCACTTTGGTGTATGCCTCCTCAAAGGAAAGTTTGGGTTTGCCGAGTAGCTTTGCGCGTAGCAGCCTAGCAGGAGTACCGTGCACCATAATTGTTTGGTGCAATCTGGATCCTCCAATGTGAAGAACAGCTTCCAACTTGTGTGGAATTGAACTCCTGCACGACCTGCACTCTTCGCCCAAGGCACTGTCCGATCGGGCTTCCCAGGGTGCGCTCCTGCGTGAGACTTGGATGGCTCAAGTGGATGACTCGTGATTCCGTGATCTTGAATACCACCTGGCCACGTCATCTACAGTAAATCAATCAATCATCAGTCATCTCAATCACTGGTGATCTTGAACACGTGATCTTGATCTTTCGTCGTCACCTAAATCAATCTAAGGTCTCTGGCTGCTCTCTCCCTGACTGACCAGACCCTCCCATTCAAATACCTTTCCTAACCCCACCACTCCCAAGTGATGACTCTTAGACTGAAATCCAGGCCATTGAGATATGTAGCCCACCAAATCTCCAAGTGAGGTGTCCCCAAACCGCCGGGATGTCCCCACTTGTTCTGCCCTCATTGAGCACTTTCGGCAGATTCTCCCCATTTCTGAGACAAGTTCTCCTTGGAGTTCAGCCGTTCGGTCCGTTCGCCTGTTCATCCCCTCTCGGTCGCCCTACCAGGCCTGAGTGCTTCCTTCCATTCTTCAGACAGCAGTGGCTTCCTTGGCGCCAAATGTCTGGTGCCCAAAACATCCCAGAACGGTCCATGCTTGGCTCTCAGAACAGTGGAACTTTCCCAGCAATGCAGCAATGAGTTTCATTGACTGTCCTGCCAATAGTCCGCTGACAAAGACGAGACACACCCAAAGAAAGGGTGAGTGCTGGAATACCACAGAGATCCCCAAACATGTCAAAACGATGCTACTGCGGCTCAACAGGAACAGGTGATTGCTCGCTAAATTTGCAAACTTGATGTTGCTAGCCAACTAGGTAGCGTCTCACATGAGTGCTTGGTTGACAATGTCATCTTTCTAATTAGATCCATGAGCATGCAGTGGACGCCACAACATCATCATGTTCGCCGTGATTGATCACGGGTTTTTGGTCACAACGTTTCATGTTTGTTAGCACTGTCTTGGGTATGATAATCGGTGATAGTGGCATCATCTCCAACGAGGCGACTGGCGGCATTTGGGATTTAGAGAGGGCTTTGGGGGGGGTAACACCTCATCCAAATCCTTCTCCACTCTTGTGACATACAGACAACTTTCGGGTGGACAAGATCCGCAACAGCCGCATCCTGCTCATGCTTGTATTCATCACGGCACTCCCGGTCGGCGAAGAGCAGATAGGCAACAAATGGCCCAGTGAAGGTTCCAATCCAAATTCATTTTGTGCGACATCCACATCAGGATGTCTCATGGACGCTGTCTTGTGCCATCTACACAGTTACACCAGCTTCGGTCCACCAAGAGACGTGTAGATCATCTCCCAAGTGTTCCGGCTGTTCGGCATCACCTCAGATGCCCAAAAGGGCTGTTTCGCTTCCAAAGCACCTTACCAGGGAAGGTCTTGATCCTGCGGTGGATGAACGAAATCTGTAATGGGGGCCGACCGACAAGCTTCGCACATTCACTGAGGTTCCGGCAAAAGGCATGGTGAAATCATAGCTGGTGATTAGCTGATCCCTGCACGTGTCTGCACATGTTCGGGCTGGGCCCTTGAAAGGATTTGCAGGCTTCAGAGACCTGCAAAACAACATCGTTGATCCTTATGTGCCCTTGTGCTTGTGGACCAATCCCATGCGCGTGCTGCATCGTGCTCGGCTAGTGTCCAAAAGGCTAGTGTCATGCCTGCTCCGTGGCTCTTCGGTC